ACGACAAAAACTATTTATTTACACTAATTATTAAAGAACTTAAAAACACTATTAAATTATTACTAAACTTAGGTTATGAATTATTCTATTTATTTACACTACTGTTGATATATCACTATTCACTGCGCTATTTATTTCACTGCTATCACTGTCAATTTATTTCTGGATTCATTTCTGAAACGGTCAATTTATTTCTGATTATCTCGGCGATCGTTTCTTCCTTTAAATACTCTTTTGTTTACATTCTGGAAGCATCCGGATAGTTTATTTTTTCTTTGAACTCTTTAATTGCTTTTCCAGAACGCAGGTACGACACACATGTTTACAAATACGGTAAACATGAAGAAAGGCACCCGTGGCTAGTCGGAGAATCGATAAGCCGTTCACGCACACGTGTGCCCGGTCGCACACAAACACACTCGTGCTCGCTACAGTATGTTTCAGTAATTTCGTTTTTTCACTGTGATAATTTTAAGGTAAAATGAAATTTGCTATTTAATTCGCTGATTTCCGGTGTTCTTCTCGACTTTATCACACACATTTTATTCTGGTTTACTTTGCACTTCTTCCAAGAAATGCTTTATTTTCATTAATAGGTTTTCACCTCGCCATCAAAATGTAGGACAGCAAATCTTCATCCTCGATAAGAAGAGAGATCCTCACTGACCTTGTTTTAATTGTTTTATCTAATTTCATCTATAAAAGTACCTACCCACCTCATTACGTAATGCTAAAGTTTACAAAAACAAATTTTTGGGTACTTCATTCCCACAGTTACTAACAATAAAGCTGGTCGCTCCGGACTACGCTAGAGGGCAGGGCAGCCTCCTCTTAGGAATCGTGGGAATCTAGGAGTGGTGATTTGAGTGAGAAAGATGAGAAGATCAAAATAAAAGGTGAGAGGTTATTTGTGTAATAGTTTCTTTCAATTTATAGATATAGCTACTAGTTACCATCTACGTGGTAGTAATAGGGAGTATATATAGTTAAATTCGGTTTGGTTATTTACCGAATTTGATTTTGACTTTTTAGCTTTTTTCATTTCTAAATTTTCTGCGAGCGTTAACATTTTGCCTTTATTAATATTCATATGAATGAACTTTATATTAATTATTCACATTTAAATAATGCTGAGAAATTATGAAATGTTCTAAAAATTCAGTTTGTTATCTACGTATATTTGTCTGCATCGTCTTCCCAATCTGTCGTATGATGGTAGCATCACATGAGAAGTAAAAAAATTGATAAATACTATTTTATCTCTTATATTTTTTACAGTTTTGTTGTTTTATTATTTAAAAATTATAACGCTTCACAAAAAATTGTTGTTCAGAATTTAATTTACTTGTACACAAAGGATAGCCTTGAAGATTGTACTAAAAAGCAATAAGCTTGATAATTTCATGTTTTATTTAAACATTTATCAATGCTTACCAATTTACCACTGCTTAGATTTCTTAGTAATCACTAATTAAAGCGTTCGTATATACTGGTTGCTGGTAATCATTTGTATGAAAATGTTTAATTTTAAAAGTGTTTAATTTTATCCTTAGGAAACGCAGCACGTTTATGGAGTTTTAAAAGATAATAATTTTTATACTAAGACAGACAATTTTTAGACTAGTCGATGCAGAAAACTGTTGCACACGTCCTAATCTGAAAGACCAAATTTTCTGCAAAGTTTACTTCAAACCCTTTGGAATTCATACGGCTAAACCCGCTACCATTATTAAGAGTACCTAAGTGTAGTGAATAGCAACACATAAATGCAGATAAAATACTTAAAGAACTTTTTTTCTCATTAATTTGAGGTTATCTGTAGTGATATAAATGAATTCACTTTAATCTATTGAAAACCCTTCAAAAGTTCTTCTAGAACGTTTCATTATTAATAATAATTATACATTGGTTCGACGATTATGTGACCTACGTGTCAGGCAAGATCGTCATTGTTACTGCTGTCACCTCTCGAAGCTTGATGGTAGAGCAATGGTGCTTAGGGACTTGGATTCGATTCCCGACGAGGGCGTCACAGCAGAAACAATTTTCCTTCATTAATTCGGGGTTATCTGCAGTTTCAACAAAATAAATTCAAAATCAACTCATTTTAATGTATTAGAATCCCTACAAAAATTCTTCTAAAACTTTTCATTGTTAATAACTCTATTGGCATTCTATAATGTTGTAAATATCTGTTTTAAGCTGTAGACCCAAATTTTTTGGTGTCCAAATTCTTTTGTATTATATTTCTTTAAGTCTAAAGTGGCGACTTGTAAACAGTGCAATTTTATTTAGTGATCAGATTCGTTATTTTTGGTTGCTTCGTTTGGGGCTATGGTGCATCCCGTTGCTGACGAAGCCAGCATCCCAAATGCGATAGAGTCCATACTACGTCAAAGAAATTCTAAAGTTACCCTGGCAGTGTTTATTTACGCCGATCCAGAACTACAGTTTTCACAAGTCGAACTAGGGTTTACGAGCTATTTAGTTGTGGGTACTCCAAGTGATCATTCCTACACATTGGTTCAAACGGAAGTCATAGAAAGCCTATGACATTGTCAGTTACTAATAGTGGTTAATAATATGCAGTATTAATTTGAAATCATTTTTTGATTTTTTTTTATCCATACAAACATCCTCAGATTAATGAGGAAAACATTTTTGTTGCTGTTGTCATACCCCCGCCGGGAGTAGAACACGGGACCTTTGGCTTTACGCACCAATGCACTGCCCACTAAGCTACGAGAGATGACTAATCTGAGGAAGTTTGTAGTGGATAAAAAAAATCAAAAAATGATTTCAAATTAATATTGCATATTAACCACTATTAGTAACTAACAATGGCCAGTATGCCAGGTTGACCTGGATAAAAAGAGAAATAAGTATTCGAAATGTGGTGTTACAGCCGAATGATGATGATATCGTGGATAGAGAAGGTTAGAAATGAAGAGGTATTAGAAGGAATAGGAGAACAGAGAATGCTAGGGAGGTCAGTAAGAAATAGGCGAGATTATAGATTAATAGGGCATCGTCTCAGGAATGAAGGGCTAATCAGAGACATATTAGAAGCAGAAACAGAAGCTATGAGGAGGAAGGTAGACCTAGATTAGATTACAATTTATAAATAATTGAAGAAGTGGGTTGCTCTTGGTTTACAAAGGTGTGTGTCCAACCAGTCCAACATGACACAAATCAATAAAATCAAGTATGGAAAAAAAAGACAAAAGGGCAACACTGCGGTCAAATATGACGTCAGCACGTCAAAAAAACCAAGAAAGTAGCCCTTTCTGGGGTATCTTTCATCGCTGAATTAGAATATGGTCTCATACTTGCTCCAGATTATAAAGCTTTTGAAATATTTTAACTGCAAAGTCCAATTTAGTTGTTTGGATTTCAAATTAGAATATTTTGAAAGTTTAAAACAAGTGTTACTGCTTGTAGGCGGGGGTACGGTTAAGGCGAGTACCCCTTTTACATAACCTTTGGATACGCTCCTGGTTTTTCTATGTGGACGATATAATACATAATATAATGTACTTAATTAAACTTCAATCAACTACAAAAAAGATTTAAAAAACTTATCTTTAGATCGCCTTGTGTTTTTTATTTGATAAAACGTCATGTACGCACCGATACAAACACTATAAATACCCTGCCATTTATTTTTTGGTAGTTACGTATACGTGTAAGCATGAAGATCTTCCTGTTCACAACTTTAGTTTCCCTTTTCGTGGGTAAGTGTTTTTATACATCATCATCATCATTATCATCATCATCATCATCATCATCATCATAAGGTTGTCAGTCCTAAGACTGGTTGGACACGTACCTCCATACTTTCCTATCCTAAGCTAATCTTCACATCTCCCTAAAACTAAAACAACCACATCCCTAACTATTTGCGAACAGTAATCTAATCTAGGTCTACCTCTACCCCTCTTAACTCCCGTTTCTGCCTCTAATATGTCTCCGACTAGGCCTTCATGTCCGGGAAGGTGTCCTACTAACCTATCCCGCCTATTTCTTATTGAATTCCATAATATCCTCTGTTCTCCTATTCTTTCTAATACCTCTTCATTTCTAACCTTCTCTATCCTCATCATTTGCCTGTAACACCACATTTCAAACGCTTCTAACCTTTTCTTTTCCGTCGTGCCCACTGTCCATGTTTCGCACCCGTACAGCGCCGCACTCCTTTAACAACCTTTTTCGAATTTCTAGATTAATCATATGCGAACATAGAAGAGACTTCTTTCTATTGAAAGCGATTCGACCCTGCGCAATCCTCTGCTAAATATCTCTACTACTCCTTCCGTTCTGACTTATCTGACTTCCTAGATACTTAAAATCCGCCACTTCTTCATATAATATATATTGTTTGTTGTAATTTTTAGGACTCTGGGCTTTCCCTGGACAGATTGATATCGCTGAAGATGAACCGAGGATTGTCGGTGGGGAGATGGTTAAAATAGAACAATATCCGTATATTGCACAATTATACCTTAATGATGAATATTGGTGTGGGGCTTCCATTATTTCACCAAGATGGGTTCTCACCGTAGGACATTGTACTTATATGTAAGTTAATAAAAACACTTTGGCAAAAAGGGACAATAATGATTAAATGAGTGGAAATGAAGGATAAAATTGGAAAATCCTTGATTTCCTATTTTGTATCTTATTTAATTTTGATATATGCTCTGTGGAACTATTATTCCAAGCCGCGCGATAACATTCATTGTACTTTCAAAAACTTTTTCATTTCAAAGTGTGGATTAATATTTACTCATAAATTACTCATTTACTGTCTAGCATTTACACATATATTGGAACTAAATCTCTAGATCACAGTTTAGTAGTTTTCTGGAAAATATCGATACGATTCAGGGTCCGTCTGGCTAGGTCTAAGTTTTTCTGGGGTTTCATTAAATCATTTGGGAAAATAGTGAGGCAGTAACATTTCATTGATGATCTTTCACTTGTTTTTCTTCATCATTTCGTTCGTTTCATCCCCACGATTCCTAACAGAGAGCCTTTCGCTTTACCTTCTGGCTTTGTAATAGACCGTGGATCGACGGGACTGCGCGCCCACCAGCATTAACAGCTGGCAGGAATAAACCACACAATATTATCTTTAAAAAAAGAGCATAATACACGTAGTCCAGGCAATATATGGGCGGGTAAGTCACAAAAAATATTTTCTTGGATGTACGTTGTCAGTCGGTAATCTGATCGGGTATTTGATAACTGCGTAGAAAAATTTATCTGAATAAGTTTTCCCATTCAGCCGCCGATATTGCCTGGACTAACACGTTTCAAGCATTCCTCAATTTCTGGGATTTATCTTTCTCGGATCAAATGTGGGAAATCGAGATCGAGAAACATTAAATCATCATCATCATAGGGTCGTCAGTCCTAAGAATGGTTGGACACGCGCCTCCACTCTTTCCTAATCTTCGCATTTTCTTAAACTAGAACAACCCACATCCTTAACTATTTCCGAACAGTAATCTAATCTAGGACTACCTCTACCCCTCCTAACTTCCGTTTCTGCCTCTAATATGTCTCTGACTAGACCTTCATTCCTGAAAAGGTGTCCTACTAACCTGTTTCGCCTATTTCTTATTGACTTCCATACAGTCCTCTGTTCTCCTATTCCTTCTAATACCTCTTCATTTCTAACCTTCTCTATCCACGGTATACTCATCATCTGCATGCAACACCACATTTCGAAACCTTCTAACCTTTTCTTTTCGTCGCGCCCACTGCCCATGTTTTGCACCCGTACAGCGCCGTGTTCCAAACATACACCTTTAACAACCTTTTATTTTCCTGTTTATATAGGATTGATGTAAACAACCTTACATTACGTGTGGGTGCTACCGAGTTTAATGAAACAGCATATAATCGAATTATTATATCAAATACATACCTTCATCCCTCGTACGACGACGCAACGATGGACTACGATATAAGCATTCTCCGTCTTCAGAAAGACCTTGTTTTTGGAAATAAGGTTGGTTCAATTGCTTTACCACGACCTAACGTTGTTTTACCTGCGGGAACTGTGGCTACCATTGCCGGTTGGGGTAATTTACTTTATGAAGGTGGCGCTCCAATAGATTTGCATTCCGTAAATGTGCCAATTATTTCCAATGCAGATTGTGCTCGTAGTTATGCTAACAGCGCAGTCTTTATTACTGATAGATTCTTGTGTGCTGGTGAAAAACAAGGAGGAAAAGACGCATGTGATGTAAGTAGAAACGTAGATATTTTCATGAAAAGTAAGAACACCTAGCAATTTAAGAAAATATCAAATGCTTAATTTATTGATAAACAAAAAGGTTTATCGTTATGCCACAGTCTCATTTATATTTATTTCAAACTAGCTTTTCCCTGCGGCTTCGCTCGCAGAAATGAATATCGTTTCTCCGTAAAACCTTTTAACTCCCAACTCACCCTTACAACGTTTTAATTTTATGTAATGTCGCCATCCTTAGATTTCAAATACAAACGTGGCAACAACATTTCATTCTTAAGGGTTGATTTTTAAAAATTGCCAAAACACAAACACGTATTTGCTTAATTTCAACAATGAGCAACCTTCGAGCAAATCCGAGTACCTACAAGTGAAATATACGCCATGGAAACGTTGCAACCACTTTTCATCCGAATAATAATATCAAACAGCATATATACGAAGTTTCAAGTAAATTTAACCACAAATAAAGTATGTCCCAAACAATAATTGTAACACCTTTTTACTCCATCCCCCTATGGAGGTTAAATTTTTTAAAATGTCGCGATAGGTCTTTCAGAAATTAAATGAGGGACCATTAAGACCAAGTTTCAAGTAAATCTGACCACAAATAATGTATGTTCCATTTAAACATTGCAACTCCTCATCAGCACGCATCCCCCCCAACAGAGATTGAATTTTTTATCCATTTTCAAGTAAATCGGACCAAAAACAAACATGCAATCTTTGCAAACCCCTTTCAGCTTCCCGAAGAGGTAGAATTTTGTAAAATACTGAAATAGGTATATATATCACTAATTTTATATGAAAAAGCATTAAAGCCAAGTTTCAGGTAAATCTGACTATACTTTAGCTGTCAGATGCGTTTTGTTATTCGCTGTCAGTTGCGTTTACATTTTCTTTTCCCATGGAACGTGATAAAAAGTATCCTATGTTCGTCTCCTGGTTCTAAGGTACCTCCCCACCAATTTTCAGCCAAACCGGTTCAGCCGTTCTTTAGTTATAAATAATGTAACTAAAACGACTTTCTTTTATATATATAGATATGTTACATTTATTAAAAAATACGTTGAATCGGAAAAGGGTTTAAAGTGAATTTTATTTTTTACCGCTACATTAATTAAAAAATTAATAAAATTTAATGTGTTGAAAACCTTCCAAAAATTCTTTTTCTTAATGTCAGAAACAATTTTCTTTTTAGGGTGATCATGGAGGGCCATTGGTGGTGAATAAGACACTTTATGGTTTGATTTCTACCGGTATACGATGCGCCGATCCGAATTATCCTGGAGTTTACACCAGCGTTTCAAGTGTACGCTCCTTCATAACATCAGTGACAAAGCTATGATTGGGGGGTTGGGCAATAAAATGAAAAATAAAAAACTACTAGCATTACTGTTTATAGTTTTATTGCAGCAACATATTCTAGCTATAGTAGGCACTACATATACAAAGAATTTTTCACACATCATTGTGGGGGTAGGGAAGGGTGAAAGCTGTCAGATACCTATCTACCATGTGTTGTCGTTATTATTATCATTATATCATTTAGTGATTTGAACTCCTTAAATTCATTCCTTCTAAATTAAATTTTCTCTTAAACTAAATCCCTATTAAGAAAATTTATCGAATGTCACCCTCTAAATTGATTCCTTCAACGTGTGATTTAGATCCCTATTTATGTATTATTTCCAGAATAGTATCATTCTCAGAACCAAACTAAATTTCGTGGAATGAAATATTAATGTTAAGAATAATGTAAAAAACAATTGTGTGGTTTTATGAAACCACGATGCAAGTGAAACTATTCGGATTATAGGCATTTAACTGTAAATTTTTGAAAAATTATTCGATTTAGGGTATTAAAACTAAAATGGTGTTCTTAATCTTATATTAATGATTGGAAAATGGGAATGATAATGCGAAATCAATAGTAGACAAGATATCCAACTACAAATTTTAATTTCAATCTGCGTATCAGACTACAGAATACATAATAAATACAATCAATGCATGTTAAAAACTGAGAACAATATTTATTTAAATCATTGAATCATTTCGAACTTCAGTTATTCTATCAATAATTTCATCTGCGCATTGAGTTTTATAGTCTATACATGTAATTGTCATGTACTTGCACGAATGGGCGAGAATATAAATGCTACACGGTTAGCTCATGCGAGCCATGGGCGCCGCCATATTGGTCTTGGCTGCTCTGCCGAGCGCCTTTCAGTTTTACCCCTACTCCGCGACCGGCTGTAATGCGACGTGCGATAGATGAACGAAAAAATTTGAGGCGATGTAATAAAAATTTCTCTTTAATAAATAGCAACTTAATGTAGAGTATTTATCTATATGTAAGGTTATCGTCTTAATTCAATTAAGCTAATCCACGCTAAGAAACATTTTTACAGATGTATCACGGAATTATTCTAGAATTAACTTTTACTGTTTTAAAGATTTTGGAAGAGATGCGATATTTTTGAGGGCGCGCTAGCAAAATAGGGAAGACATTCATATAAAACGGAAGACTGAGTAGGAGAAGTTCTTACCGCGATCTACTAACGCCAGCTATCGGTTCGTAGTACGTTGTTTGCATATTTTTCAACTGAAATTTAGAATAAAGTAATAACTTACAGTGCGATGTATTAATTTGCTATCCTAACTTAAAATTTGTTCGTGTTAATAATAGTAATCGATGCAGCGGTTAGGTACGCAAAGATCAGGGTCGGCTTTATAACTTATTTGGTTAGATTTATACCTTTAAACAAAGCTCTTTGCTTTCCCAAGTTCCTGAGAATTTTGAACATTCTTTGAAGTCCAATGCCGTCGACGTGCTAAAATTCTACTTGTTTGCATCCCTTTCTGTTACACATTAATTGGTGTAATGTTTTATTAGTGTCTGATGTCATCTGTACGACTGTGTAGTATCGGATTCCCGAGGAAGAAGTCCGCGGACCTACCGACTAAAACCCCTCTACCTCAGACCATTCTAGGACCAATTAAGGTCCTCTTCAGCCGTCCACACCCTATTCGATGAGTTGAAGCAAGAGGCTGGGACTGCAGGAAATCTGCTGTTTGTGTTAAAATGCATTAGTTCAAGATGATAGCAAAACTTCTGATGGTAAACTGATCGATTTTTGTCTAATGCATGTCTAATGTGCTTCGATGGGTTACAGTTGGAACGACAGTGATGATAATTTCCCTACCAAGAGCCCGACATTACTAAACTATCATCTCCTGCTTCTTCCATTTAAATCGGACTTCTGTACTAGTCTCGCTTCTCTGCTTCCAGGGATTACTCTGTGAACTATTTTCTTAAACATGTATCAGCACCTACTGTACCATGTCGCGGAAACTGCATTAGAACAGAACTGTTTAGTTACTCTAGCTCGTTAGGAACAGCGCTATAGGTAGCAACCTGCACATTAGTATAATTTCCCTTATCTATTGTTCCTTCACAATTACTGGCAAGACGTTACTGTCATCTCTGGCGTTACTCGGGAAGACCTAAATAGAATCTAAGCGATCTTAGTTACTATTTGTTATTGTATATGTTACCGGAAATATATGAAATCCGTCATTGTATACAATCCCATAGGAAACGTATATAATTTCTAAAATCGCCCGGAAATGTGTTAAATAAATTATATTAAACACATTTCCTAGGGAATCTATACATTTACTAAACAGCAATCGGAAATGTATTACAGGTAGTACTAAATAGGCAATAATACGCAGGCTGTTTGGAGATGTACCTATATCCATTGGTGACGTCATTGTATAGTTAGTTTCTTTAAAGCCCCTGTTATGTTAGATGTTAGATTAATGTGACGAGGTTATCTTTGCTTCAGTAAACACGAGGACCTATTTTCATATATATATATATATATATATATACATATGACAAGTAATAACTTTAAAAGCA